ACATTTGATGACATTTGATGGAATCTTATTGTTATATTATTAATATATATTATGTACAAAACGAAGCACGTTTCGCCGGCTCGTGCAAAGTATATTATTATTATTATTATTATTATTATTATTATTATTATATAGGTATATTTTGACAAAAATTTAAAAAAGAAAAAACCAAAAAAAAAGATAAATAAATAAATAATATTCCGGAGAGTCCGTCGTCGAAAAAAAATTTGAAAAAAAAAAAAACAAAAACATAAAAACCTCCCTCGTCGTTAAAAACAACGCGACGGACAACCCCGCGGCGGCGGATCAGAACATTATCTACGCGGATAAATAATATAATATATAATATACATAATAATAGGTAATAATATTAATCCATTACAAGTATATTATTACACACGCGGATATATAATAAATAACGCGCGTTCGCGGTATTATAACAACAAAACGATACAGATGTTCAAAACTTAACTCTAACAATGTTAATATATAAATGTATTTATTTTTCTCGCGGTTATCGTGGTCGAAAAAAAAAAAAACAAAACAAAACAAAACGCTGAAGTTACGACGTGGTTCTTTTGTCGCCGCGCACGCACAATCCGAGTATTTTCAAGTTTTAAGGTTTTCTTTTCCTCCCTCTCTCACGCCCCGTCTATTAACTATCACAGATTACGTGAAAATATCGTAATCATATTATCGCGTTTTTTTTTAGGGGTTTTTGTTTTTTGTTTTTAGGTTTTTTTTTTTTTTTTTTATACAACTCGAGTCTAAATAATACATCAACAATATAATATAATTACTCGTGCGTCGAATTTCTATATACGTGAATTTCTACCGCCACCCAGCTCCGTGCAGTTCCGCGCAGCGAATCCCGCGGCTCAGAACATATACGTGGGCGTCAGGATGTTGTTGATCGGGTCGGTGATGCGGCCCAACGTTTTCGCGGGTTTGCCGCCGTACTCGTTGCGCAACACCGCGGCGATGGTACCGTTGAAGCCCCACAGTTGCGGCGGCGCGGCCGGTTCGTTTTGCCTCTGCACTTTGTGGTACTCTTGGTGCTGCTGTTGCTGATGGTGGTGATGGTGGAGGTGTTGTTGTTGTTGTTGTTGTTGTTGTTGTTGTTGATGGTGGTGTTGCTGTTGGTGATGGAGGTGTTGATGGTGTTGTTGTTGCTGCTGCTGCTGCTGTTGCTGCTGTTGTTGCTGCTGCTGCTGCTGCTGCTGATGAAGGTGGAGGTGTTGTTGTTGTTGTTGTTGTTGTTGTTGCTGTTGTTGTTGTTGCTGTTGTTGTTGTAGATGAGGTGGTGGCGGTAAGTGGTGTTGTTGTTGTTGTTGTTGATGGTGATGGAGATGGTGAGGTTGCGGTTGCACCGACGGCGGTTGCTGGGCTTTGCGTTTTAATAATTTCACCTGGCAGCAAGAACACCCTTTCGGCACTAAACATGGACAAAAATAAAAAAACGCCATCAGAACACGTTTTTTTTTTCTATTTATTTTTTTTTTTTTTTTTACTCTCTTTGTATAGGTATAATTAACAAAAAAAAAATATATATATATTTTCCTCTTTTAATTAAAACTATATTTGATCCTTTATTTTAATTATTTATACTCTATTTATACTCGACGAGAAACCCGGACGAATTATTAATATAAAAAAAAAGGAAAGAAGAAAGACCCTATCCGCGTTACGATCGACGCGCGAGGAGTATGAGTAGGAGAAGTAGAAGGTCTTAAATAATGTATAGTACCTAAAGAATAAGTCTGACGTTGCAAAACTTCTTTGCAAAGTTTTTATTTTATCTACACTTCTCGCGAAATATTATACGACCGAGACCTTCCTTCCCGAGTATATTTCATATACTCGTCTGAGTCGCAAACACGTCGTGAAAATAATAAAATCCTCTAATTCGGTTTCCCCCTCCCCTCACTCCCGTTTATTACCATATCATATCCTATTGCACGTAGCTACGACCCAAAAACAATTTGTAATCACGTGACAGAATAATAATAGAAAATATCGTGTATTTCAACGTTCAGAAATGTTTGAAATTTGTTATTATTTTTGATTTCGAACGTGTATTTTATTATTACTATTGCACGGTCTGATTTTTGATTATTTTTTTTCTTTTTCTTTAATCGCATACGAAAATACTGAATTCGCAACCATGTACCGGGCGGTCCGTTTATCGTGCGAACCGGCAATATTCTATCGTTTAAGATTTGATTTTTTTTTTTTTAACGTTTTCGATTTTACCCTAACTACTCGCGAGACGGTACCTCTTGAGGCGGATATTATACACTTTTGGTTTTCAAACGGGAACCCCGTTTCCCGTTGAAACGCAGACGATTCGCCTCTGGTAATACGAATCGAAAAAAAAAAATACCAGTAATCAAACGCGTGGAGAAAACTGCCTATTCGTCGTAATAAACAATATAAGTCACCCTGTACGTACTACACGACATGATAATCAATCGGTCGTAGTGCCGACTTTTTTTTCGTTCCCGCTCGCGTACAAAACAAAAAACTAATTAAAAACTCGAAATCCGACGGAAACGTATAAAATCGCAAAATACCTATTTCTGTTCGCGCGACCGACATAGACGGAAAAAACCCGGCGGGCATTCGACGGTACACTAAACACGACAAGGCCGTTCCGAGCGAATTCTGCACGAACGACGGGAAAAGTTTTTTTTTCTTTTTTCCGTTCGAGAATAAAAAATGTCTTAGAAAAACAAAACAATACGTTTTTCGCGTGTTACCGCGGCGAATGGTATTTTTTTTTCTTTTTTATCCACGGAGACGATTAAAAAAAAAAAAAAAAACAGAAACCAAAATAAAACTTCGAATCTGCTCAGTAGAATTACTGAATTATTCATAAATATAATACTGTTCGTATAGGTATGCGGTTTTTTTATAATATTCTAAAATCGAATATTTTAAAAACATTATAATATTTAAAAGTTTTATAATATTATATTGTTATAATAATATAAGAGAGGG